ACCTTAGAAAGAAAAGGTTCACAGGAGATCTACTAGGAAGGTTCTAGGGATGGAGAGTTATCTTAAGGGACAGATACCTTAGAAAGAAAAGGTTCACAGGAGATCTACTAGGAAGGTTCTAGGGATGGAGAGTTATCTTAAGGGACAGATACCTTAGAAAGAAAAGGTTCACAGGAGAGCTGCTAGGATGGTTCTAGGGATGGAGAGTTATCTTAAGGGACAGATACCTTAGAAAGAAAAGGTTCACAGGAGAGCTGATAGGATGGTTCTAGGGATGAGGGGTTATGTTTAGGGACACATTAAGATCTCTCTATGTATTTTCTCCTGTTAAAAGAAGGGTAAGAGGTGATGTTATTAATGTTTAAAAGATTATTCAAGGAATCTGATATGATAAAGACCTCTTATTTCTTGTGCACAATTCTAAAGACAACATGAGAGAATACAGGTTCAAGATTTGGAAAAAAAAATTTGGGTCATGGAATGAATTGCCAACAACAGTATTGGAGGCTGACTGCATACAGTACTTTAAAAGAGTTATCTATTCTAGTTATCAACAATATAATAAAAATCATTAACAATATATTCTAGTTATCAACAATATAATAAAAATCATTAACAATCTATTCTAGTTATCAACAATATAATAAAAATCACTAACAATCTATTCTAGTTATCAACAATATAATAAAAATCACTAACAATCTATTCTAGTTATCAACAATATAATAATCACTATAACAATTTTTTCTAGCTATCAACAATATAATAAAAATCACTAACAATCTATTCTAGTTATCAACAATATAATAAAAATCACCATAACAATCTATTCTAGTTATCAACAATATAATAATCACTATAACAATCTATTCTAGTTATCAGTAATATAACAAAAATTGATATGGATAAATGTCATCTTATCATTCTTAGTGATTAATAAAGCTCAAATGTCTATGGCTGTTTATGAAAAGTAAATAAAAAGGCCATGAGCAAAGAGCTTAGATGCAATGTCCTTTGTTCTTACTTGATCAAAGCCACGGAGACAGATCGACCTCACCATAACAGTTGTGTCAAAACCCAACCCTGTCAGAAATCCTGCACATTCAAGAGCAACATCTGATGAATTGTTAAGGTATTCTTAAATCTTGAATATTAATGAACAATACATCATGATTTAACAAAATCTCTTTCAATAAGTTGTAGGTGACATAAAACTAAACACTTCTAATTCTCAACACACTATCGTTTGTGTTATTTGACAGGAAATTATGACAAGAAAGCTAGAAACCTCATGGAAATTATACAAAAACCAAACCTACATGCCTTATATCAATTGCATTTGGAGATGGAATAATTTTAAAAATTGTCAACACATGATTATATTTTTTGAAAAAATGTTACCTTGCATTGACTTAAAAATTAAATTAAATTTTGTACAAAATCATTTCGATATCAATATATTCAAACAATTATCATAGCTTTTAGCTGAAATACTAAAATTTATTTTTACCAGAAAACCACTTTACAAGTAAAAGAAAGAGAGTGGGCAATTAATTCAATTAATCAATATTACTGATAACCAATGAGCATCGATTACCATAACATTACGTAATCAATCAAAATTGTAATTACATCAGTTAAAGACACAAAACATAATCAACTGATTATAATTACGGTTTCAGATTTCTACCGTTTTCAATTATTCAAACAATCAAAGTAATCATTTGAATTTATGATTTCTTATCATTATTATTTATTAATTCAGGATTGTTCAGCTTGTATCAAGATTCATGAAAATAATCAACTTATCAAAATTAATGTTTCCTATTCTTCCAACTATCCATGTGAAAATAATTGATTAACTTATTATAAATGAGCCCAACAATTAATTGATTATCCAAATTCCACAAATCTTCCAGCTCTCTTATTCACCCTTTGCTTTTAATTCGTTAGGTTTGGTCAAATTAAAATGGTATGGTGTTTCTTTCCTCTTATAATTTTTCAAACAGGTAATATATCATTTATGATTGAACTAAAACCACCGGTAATTTAAAGGATACAACTTCCACCAACAACTAGGCTGTCAAAAGATAAATGAAATAAATCATTAAAAATTTTTTCAGCAAGTGCAAAAATTAAGAAACATCACTGACAATAACTCATAATCTGAAATTCCTTTCGAAAAATAAAGTTGAACCTGAAGGCAGTAAATAATGAGTATTGAAAACCAAGTTATAAATTACTACGTAAAAAAACGGTTTCTTTTAAAAAGTAAACATTAACATATAATAATTATCAGGCTTGCTATCTGATTGCACATGGAATTTATTATTTTTTATCAAATGTTCCCTAATTTTATACAGATCATAATGTTCTCAGAGTAAATGCAAAGATCTGAGTCTGTAGATTGATGTTTAAAATTTCTGTGTAATGGCAGAGAGGAAGGATCAGAGATGGACAAAAATGTATTAAATAAAAAAAAGCATTAATAATTCGTACGTACTCAACAGGTTTTGGCAACCGTAAGTGATTTACAATCACCAATAATATTATTTCCAATTCCTCAGAAAACTGGGTTAGAATGCACAAAACTAATTCTAGACTGATAAAAATTGTTTAGATGGAAGTAATATTCTAGTCATCAACAATATAATAAAAATCACTAACAATCTATTCTAGTTATCAACAATATATTAAAAATCACTAACAATCTATTCTAGTTATCAACAATATAATAAAAATCACTAACAATCTATTCTAGTTATCAACAATATAATAAAAATCACTAACAATCTATTCTAGTTATCAACAATATAATAAAAATCATTAACAATCTATTCTAGTTATCAACAATATAATAATCACTATAACAATCTATTCTAGTTATCAATAATATAATAAAATCATTAACAATCTATTCTAGTTATCAACAATATAATTGTTTAGATGAATGTATAAGATGGAAGAATTAAATATTTGACAAATGAAGGTAATGTTGTTGATGTTTGGGCCTAAATCCCTTTTCAAAAAAACTTTAATCTCGAAAAACACAAAACAGTTGTACAGTGTTCTACATATGCACATTAACAAGTACACACAAAGTATCATGAACAATATTGTTTGAAAAGTAAAGAATTAAAAAAATATAAAATAAAATACAAACAATTACAAAAATGCTTTTTTGTATGCTTTTATCATAGATTGTAACACATATTCTTTGCTGTAACTACAAACAATGATATGACAAATAGCAAGTAGTTTCCAACTACATTTCTTGACTTGCTGTCAATTCGAGTTGGGCAGATATATCTATGTATTAGTTTATGCATTATGTAATCTGCACCAATTTATTGTATGGCCTTGTTTCTACATATTCAAGGGATAAAAAGAATTTTAAATGTTTTTAAAGTTTTGTTTGCGTATTTTCAAATAGTAAATGCTTCTGGATCCAATGAAATCAGCCAGACTAAAGTAGAACATGAAGAAAGCTATCATTTAGTGTATCCCTGATCCATATTGGTCTAGCAAATTTGAACCAATACCCCGTTTCTGATTTTAACATTCACCCACCGGTCAATCACAAGTGGCGGAGAACGAGTTTAGTAATCGTGGTGATTTAAAGCCAATTTAAAACTAGTGGGAGTACAATAGCCTTGAAATAAATCCTGCAAATTCAGCGTGTATTAGTACTGTAGACGTTTTCATTTGTTTTTTTGGTGTACAAGAATTAGTATTTTGTTTATGTGAGATTTATATGTTCACAACTGAGATTCACACACTTCCGTGGCTGCGAACTATAATTCTGTGGGACTCCCTACTATAAACATCGAACAAAAATAAACCTAAACAAATCCTGAGAAATCTGCTAGCTAGGTTAGGTTAGTAGGAAAATAAAAAGCTAGACATTTTATATTGGTGATCATCTTTCAGTTCTAATCGTCTCTGAGAAGAGTAAGTCGCACTGTTTCAATAAATTCAGGATTAAAACTAGAATCTAAAAAATTGAAGCAAAAAAAACCAGCAAAATGGAAAAATAACTGTGTTTGGGAAAACAATGCAGGCATTAATGACTGTACATCTGTGTTGAAATTAAGATTGTTTTACAGAATGATAGGGACTTAGAAGACAGATTCAAATTTCTGCTAAGCACGACATGCAACTGTTTTTTAGAAAACCAGAACTAGAAGTTGTGAAATTGTGTCTTTAATTTTATAAATGGGTCCAAATACCTGTCCAAAAACAGAACTGGTTAAAACAAAACAAAAAAAAAAACCACCAGTATTAAAAATAATCTATATTTTATGTTAATCAGTTTTGAACTTTGCTTACGTTTTTCCTGGAGGTTTTTCAAGGTAAAATACGTCATCACTAGAGATACAATACTCCTTTGCACCAGAAACATCATCTGGATATTTAGGCCTTGCTCCTACAGCTATCACAAAATTTTTGGCAGTAAACGTTTGCTAAGTTTTGAAAAAATTAAAAATATGCATAAAGCTCAGTAAGTCAGAAAAAAAAAAGTCGGATAAGAGTCAGTAGAGGAAGACATAAGTGCATGAAACTAGCATAAGAGCTCTTATTAATACAGAATTGAATCACAGATTTCTGAGTTCATTACAAAACACGAGGAAATTACACACAGTACCCTTTAAATTGTGAAAGTTTGTATATTAAAAATGTAGCTTTTCCAGAAATTACAATCAATTAGATATTTTATAAAAAATAATTCACAATTTCCAGTTTTTATCACACAAGTTTATGAAGGTCTGAAATTAATTTTAGAAAGGTTATCTTTTGAATTTTATTTCTTTAGAAACTGAGAAAACTACAGCGAGAATTGGGAATTGTTCACACTATTTTGTACTGGAAATGGCACGGGATCCAGAGAAAACCTTTACTAATTTCAGTATAAAATATTACTACAGTAAATTTGAATTTATTTACTTATTTTTTTTTAGTAAAACAGTTAAATTTTTACCTGTTTTCCATCCTTGAAAACAGCTGAGATTGTGTAGGGATCAAGAAATGATCCTTTGGCATTATAATAATCTACATTCCTGGAGAAAGCAGAAAACAAATTTGCTGAATGTGGAAAAAATAATCATGCGAAAATGTTGTTAAAAGAGATGTCTGCTGTGGTTTGTAGTTACATGAAGAATGATTAAGTCACCAGATGATACCAATATAGCAAAAATTCAAGACTTTAAACAGCACTATCGCTCGACCTAATCAGAACTTAATCATTAGACACAACAAAACAAAAAACAAGGTGATGAAAAAGTATCGTTAGTATTAGATTATCTTTATCAAGTTAAATGCAAGGCATATTCACAAAACATCAAAGTATTTCAGTGATAAATAATTAAAAGTTTTTTTTATGGTACAAATCAGATACACAACAGAGAAGAAAAGTTTAATTTTGAAAAAAATGGAAAGCCGCATTCCATCTCCAAAATAATAATAATACTTACTTATGTTTCAGTTGAACTCGATGTCCCCAGTTCAAAGATTTTACATAACTCATTACAGCAGTTTTCAACGTACCCCAGTTGTGCGTCACATTATCAGGGAGCTCCCACCCATAATGACGAGCATCTTCGATAAATTCCCCTAACAAAGATCCTTCGTGATAGAGCTTTTTTGGAATACACCCAACATTAACACATGTGCCTCCAAGACCCCAGTTCGTTCCTGCTCACAATGAATTTATAGGGTACAAAAATGTTGTTTCCATTACTTCACTTCAACAAGACACTTCAAATCATAAATATTCATCTTAACTAACTCTATACAATTTTAAAACATAAATTTTAGTCATAAATTGTTTGAAACCAGTTTCTAGGTAGCAAGAACACACTCCTCCTCCTCCCCCACAATACTTTCTCTACAATTATTAAAAATAATGACGCACGATGTTAAAACCCACATATTTTATTTAACATATTCATATAACAAATCATCTCTAACTCCACTGGCTAACAAATAAAGATACTTATATACTCCTCTGCTTAAACTATCAGATGTGATCCCAAATAAAAGTGATATTAAGAGGATTAAACGAGTATTTTAACTACAGTTACATTGTGGTATGCCACTACTGTCAAAGATGTCCTTCATTCAATATCAGAGCCCACAAATTTACAGTACAGTCCTTGTTCATGGCATAGGAATGGGGCCCGTACCCCCCCACCCTACTTTTCAATCTGTCACAGTAAAATTGTATCAAAATTAGGAAAGTTACTCTCAGAAAAAAAACAGAAGAACGTATAAAATTTAATCCAAAATTCAAGAGATTCCAAAACCTTAAGTAAAGCACTAGACCCTGGCCAAAAGGTTCCAGCACCTTAAGGTAAGCCCTGGACCCTGGCCATAATGAATGCACCTGCAGTGCACATTCTCCCAGTCAAATATCCCCCGGTCCCCCACACAAACACATTTAAATTGCCTCCCACACCACTGAAACACTTTTTATTACTTATTTCTGCTACATGAAGTGTTTTTATGTATCACATCCCAGATAACAAACTGTGAATTCTTTCACAGAAACAAGGCTCATAAAACATGAAAGACTGAATCATCTCATTTTGAACTGAGACTTTGTTCTTTACAAAAAAGTCACACTTCTCTAGATAGGCAATTAATACATCTTGATGCCTTGTAAATAATTGATATAAAAACTCTTTTTCAACACAGTTTTTGAAATGGATGCAAGCTAGCCTGATGATCTCTTATCGTAAGTGAAAAGCCTTTTTGGTAGTGGCAATGAACAGATAGTGGATTTGAAATGCTATTATACACTTTTTTTTTATTGAAACATCCATAATGGGCCAGTGAAAATGATATGATTCAGATCATTATAAACATTATAGTGATATCTATTTTCATGTTTCTACCAAAATGAATAATATTTTTCTACCTCAAGCATCATACGTCATAAAACTCAGTATATTTCTCTGACATTTGTTTTGCAAAAATACAGCTTTACGATATTTTTAATATCACCAGAAACTTACCCAATGCTTATAGAAAAATGATTTCAACGGGATATTTTTTGACATATTGTACTTTACTGCTCATAACTTTTCTATAAATTCTAGAGAATGTTACCTTGTGGAGATGAGTCTACGTAGTCAAGAACACCAACCTTTTTCCCCAGTAGACCAGCTATAATCAATAAGGTTTGAAAACCAATTAAAATTCATAATATGATTATAAATTTTCACACATAAATGGTGAAAAATTAAAGAGCAACATGTTTTCGAAGCAAAAATTTAAATATTGTATATTACCAAGTTCACAACATCAAATAGCTTCACTAAGTTCTCAGAGATGACGTACATTTAGACTTTAGCGGTCTTTCCACGTTGTACTTCTATATTATATGGTAATGGGTATCAAGAAAAATAATTAATGGTTTAGAAACATGAAATTGCAACAACTTAAGCTTCACTCGAAAAGACAAATTCCTGTTTCAAGATGGTGTCCAGCTTGTATTTAAGCTACCTCTCTCTCTCTCTGAAGTTAAACCAACTGTTTAAGTCCATGAAAATTTAGCTATACAATTAAGCTAAAAGGCAAGCAATAATTACAATTTATAATTTACTATGTAGATATAAATACATAGATACCAAGTATTAAAAGTTCTTCTACACAGAGGCCTGATCAGCATTCCACAGCAAAAAAGCACGAATAAATTACATTATTTACAAATTTGTATTTAAAATGTTGAATCGTCTTGTTTGATATCTTTTCTTTATTCTTTAGAATGAATTACAAACTTATAATCTTTGCATAATTATTAAATTTAGATTAATATCTCTCCTTCTGGTTAGTAACGTTCGTAAACTTCACAAACACACACATATATATATATATAT